GCCCAAATAAAGACAGTGTAAACAGGCAATGGCCTCAATCAAAAGACACAATGAGCAAGAAGAGTTATAAAACTAAGTTAGAACAGTGAAGGTTGAATTATGAGAGAAGGTTAAATTTTTCTAGATTATTTATTAAGAATAAAAGGGATGCTATTATCTTTTTTATGGGTAATACATAAACATAATGCATACACAAAAAATTAAGTACAAAAGAAATATATTCCTAATAAAAAGTGAGTCTCCTTCCCACTCCTGAGACAGTCTACAAGTGGACTGTTCTGCAGGTCCAGTTTTCTTTTCTTTTTTTAAATTTAAAGAGACTACCACCATTTTTAAAATACTCCATCACTCTGAGTCTCCAGGGGAATAGTAAGGGCCCATTCATTTTTTATTCCTGAAATCATTTTCAGGAACAAAAGAAGGAGAACTCCTCCCCACATAATTAAAAGATGTGCCATTCTTTTTTTGGAGACAGAGACTTACTCTGTCGCCCTTAGTAGAGTGTCATGGCGTCACAGCTCACAGCAACCTCCAACTTAAGTAATTCTCTTGCCTCAGCCTCCCAAGTAGCTGGGACTACAGGTGCCCACCACAACACCAGCTATTTTTTGTTGTTGTTGTTATTGTAGTTGTCATTGTTGTTTAGCTGGCCCAGGCCGGGTTTGAACCTGCCACCCTTGGTGTATGTGGCTGGCACTGTAACCAGTGTGCTATGAGTGCCGGGCCAAGTATCATTCTTTTAATTTTATTTAGGCTTCACTGCTTGAAAAAAGAAGACAAATGAAAACCAAGGTTGATGCCAATTGTCATGAATACCATTCCACCAGAACCTGCACTTTGCCATACAGCATTTGTTATAGACAGAACAATCAAGACTAATTTTCCAGAGATTACATGCTCCAGAAGTCCCACTCAGAATATTTTCACTGAAACTGAAGAGTCCTGAAATACATATAAAAACAAGGGCTGCCCATTGCTCACGGGATTTGATGTGGCCCTTTCTAGAATGCTGCTTATCACCCTGCTCTCAGCAGCTGCCTGAGTTTCCCATTCCTTCGTCTCCATTTCCACACACAGCCTGAGAAGACAAGGTGGGGTGGGAAAGGGTGAAAATGTTCTCAAAGAAGGAACTCTAGAAGATATTCAAAAGCTTGGGCAGAGGGACAAGGTGGGGGGTTTCTAAACTGAAAAGCTCACAAAGGCAGGAGGTGGGCAGGGGAAAGAGATGGCCATGGTGGGAAGGGGGCAAAAATGTCCATGGTGGCTGCATATATACCAAGACTAAAAAAACTCACAGGGAGACCTAAAATGGGAAAACTAAGACACTTGGGGAAAATATGGAAGCAGCTCAGTAGGGTGATCTGTCTGGGAAATGCACAAAGCCAATATGGAACAGCTGCATTGTATGCCAGAAGCCCACAAAGAGAAGAAGACGTGTACGATTCAGAACTGGTTTTCTCATATCAGTCAATGGCAGTGGAGGAGTATGGGTAAATTGCATACATCTTCTATAAACATCACAGTAATTTTTTGGGGGGGGCTTCTTATCTCATAGCATTTTTTCTTAATATTTTGAAGATATCCTAAATCTTCTCTAAATTGTGGCTCTGCAAATCATGGTACCTATTTAACCTTCTTCATAGAATTTTATCACATTTAACTTTTCAATGCAAATTTACTCATTTTCAGACATGTTTTTCACTTAGTGAACCTTCAATTAATGATCTTTTGGATGATATGATTATAGCTTGAAAAAAGCATCTGAAATGTATTAACTGTAAATTAAACATAAGGGTCATCAAAATGGCCCACAGAAGTTCCAGTGACGATCAAGAATAATGTAGTTTATTTATACTGGCAAAGGATGCCAGACTTTCTGCTTGTAGCCAAAAGCAAACCCATGTGCCAACTGCATAAACGCCATTTATAATACACTCAGGTGACCAGATTTATAATTATGCAATTCAAAAACTAAGTTTCTTGATTTAAGGAAGTCACAGCATTTCAAACTTTACATAAGGTGAGGCATTATTACTACTTTTACATCCCATAATCTCATTGCATAATTCGTCTTTACATAAAATGGAAAGGCTTCATTAGCATGTATCTTCATTTACTTCTTCCTAAGGACTTTATATGGAAAATCCACCCTTTATCTTCCCTCTCACTCAATCGAAATACTACACATCTCCTTTCTCTCCCTACACGATCTCATCCTGTCTCGTAAGCTTTGAAAACCATCTATATGCCAATGACTCTTAGAGGTACCATCTCAGCTTCAACCAGCTCTTTCTCTCTATGAACATATCTATTGGGCATCTCAAACATAATATGGCACAACAAAACTATCGGGGTCCCTCTTTGTTCCTATCTCAGTGATTAGCAACATCATTCCCCTAGCCGAAAGCACTAGACTCATCCTGGAATCTCCTTTGTGTTCACATTCCTCATCAGGCTCTACCTTCAAAATGTACCCTGAGCCTGACTCTTTCTTATCATTCTATCATCACTACCCTAAACCAGGTTACACTCTTATCTCTTGCCTGAACTACTGGAAGGGCCCCCTGTACGTTATGCAGATTCCTACTCTTACTCCCAGAGTCTATTTCCCACTCAGGATCCAGACGAATGACTTTAAAACACAAAAACGATTATATTGACTATTCTACTCAAAACTTCTCCACTAGAATCACACTCACAGTAAAATTCAAACTCTTTTTATTTTTTTGGAGACAGAGCCTCAAGCTTTCCTCCTGGGTAGAGTGCCGTGGCATCACAGCTCACAGCAACCTCCAACTCCTGGGCTCAAGTGAGTCTCCTGCCTCAGCCTCCCAAGTAACTGGGACCACAGATACCCACCACAATGCCCGGCTATTTTTTGGTTGCAGCCATCATTGTTGTTTTGGCGGGCCCGGGCTGGATTCGAACCCACCACCTTAGGTGTATGTGGCTAACGCCTTAGCCACTTGAGTCACAGGCGCCGAGCCAAAATTCAAACTCTTTATGGTTGCCTACAAGATCTATCACCCACCTACCACTCTGATCTCATTTCATATCACTCTGTCTCCCTATAACCACCCCCAGCCCAACTCCAGCCAAACTGGCTGCCTTACTGTCCCTGTATTGAGCCAAATTCATCCTGTGTCAAAGAACTTTCTTTTCACTTGCTGTTCCTCTGCCTAAACACTACGCCCCAGATTCCTTTACTCCATTCAGGTCTCAATCTCTGCTCCAACCCTCCCCTTCCTCCTCTCCCCCCGCCACCCTCCTCTCTTCCCACCTTCCTCCTCAGCCTTCAGAGTATTCTTTTAAAAAGAGTACCTTCAGCCCCTTACCCTGTTTTTTTTCATAGCACTAATGACTATTTGAAATTATATCATCTATTTACTGTTTAGTTCTTTCATAAAACAATGCCTAGTGAGCCCCCATTAGAGGCAAGGTACTCTTTTAAGAGCTAGGGATGCAACAGTGAATAAACCAAGCAGAGATCCCTGCCCACACAGAGCTCACATCCTTATTCAACACCCCCACTCAAATCTAAGCTCCAGGGAGGCACAGACCCACAGTCTGTCTTTGACCGGCTGAGTCCTCAGTGTCCAGAACAATGCCTAGGCACAAAATAAGAATGCACATGTGCTGAATGGATAATGTCCTGCTACCTGAGGCCACCCTCCTGCTTCCCTGAGGACATCTATTACAGAGCTCTTCCTGCCTACCAGATGGGATTCAGGTTGGGGGGCGCAGAATGTCAATGGTCTCTCTTTGAACAGAGCAGTCTGGACAGCCAGCCTCCTGTAGCTGAGTTTGCTCCCCAACCCTGGGCCGACTGTACTGACTGTGTTTCCTTCCTGTTCCCACATGCAGCACACTGCAAGCTCCCCATGTGACCATACCACCAGGATTTGTCTTACTGAATCACAAGAGCACCCCATCCACATGGTGGGAGGTGATCAGGTAGTGAGTCAGTGTTAAGCAAGTTAGCTTTTCTCTACAAAGCGGAGCTGGAATCAAGATGCGTGGGTCATTCTACCTTCCTGTCCCAAGATCCTATACATCAACCAGCATCAGACCTTGAAGCGCTCTCATCTCAGCAGTGGAGCATACTGTTATTAAGGACATATTTTTGCCTCTTTCAACTGTCAAAAGACAAGACGTTTACCTGCTGAGATGTGTGATTAAGTTTCTTTCAAAAAAAAGAAGAACATTTGTTAACTGTGAAATTATCTGATCTCAATTAAAAATGAAGGTAACTGTGGAAGGTAGCTAATTCAATTCATCTTTCAAGAAAACACAGTAATAGTGGTAGAAAGAGAAAGAAATAAAATGCAAATCTTTTGAAGAATTTACTCTGAAAGTCTTAGAAAATAAGTACCGAAAGCCCACATTTCTAACACACATGTGTTCACATTTCAGTGTGTTTGCTAGCTCAGAAGTATCCTGCTCTCATACCCTCTATTATGGGATTAACAGATGAAGTTGTCTGTAAACATTACAAAAGCAAAGCCAGGAGGCCCCTAACTAACGGTCAGTTGAATTGGGCTGGATTTGGCAGCTATTTCTTCCTATGTCTGGGACTCCAGCTTGAAAAGGTATGTTAATAAACTTACTATTAAAGTGTAGGAGGTAGGAGGAAGATTTGCCTTGTTCTACATCTCAGCACCAAATACTATCTTATATTGGCCCACCGCTTTCTTCCCTTTGAAGCATTCTTGCACCCATTACCCTTTTAACCTTCAAAGCAAGCAACCATGTGACGTAAACAGGACAGGATATATTTCTCTTTTTGATGTCGCAAGAGGTCAAACAACTCGCCTAAGATCCCATAGTAAAAGTGGCAGAACCAAATAAGTACCAGAACCCAGATACACCTAGGAGCAAGCCCCGCATCCTTCCTTCTATAATAAGAACAGCATGGTTCACTGCAAAACACATTCTACAGTCAACTGAAAATATTTCCCCTCACTGTGCAAGAAGGGGTGGGGGGAATGACATATATTCACCAGTGGCTTAAGGTGGTGGGAAGATGCATTGGTCCTGGAACTCTGGGCAGAGAGAGGGTTTCACAAACTCTTCCAATGGATGCCAACTCCTGCAATGACAAATGTACAAAACACATGGTGTGAATCACGGGCACTCTATGGGCGTTTCCCAAGGGGGCCCATCCAAATACCAATTGCTGGGCTCCCCATTTAGGCTCAAGGTCCATCTTCCTCTTTTAGCCCAACTACCTTCCTTGCTCTGAGTTCCAAAATTAAAAATAAGACTCTTCAATTTGTCAGCTGAAATTGTCCCCATTCACATTATAGGATCTTGGGCAGAAAGGAGAAATTATCTTTAACAGGTATCACAAACTGTGAAAGCTCAATGGGTCGCATGTAAACTACACAGGTGTTATATTTCATCTGTAGATATGTTTAGAAAACATGAGCCGAAGTTAAAAAAATCAGAGTGGTCACATAAAAACCTAGACTTCTGGCTTCACTTTAATAAAAAAATCAGAAGCTCTGTCACCATGGCCCATATTTAAGTCTGACAATAATTAGGTCATACTACATACCAATTAACCTTCATAGGCAAGCTTGGTTGCTCTAATATGCCAGTTCCCACCATTCCGTACTGTTTACTCAACACAGAGAAGAATTGCAGCTGTCATTTATCATTGCTCTTGCATTATTTTTCTACAAAAGTATCTTCTACTTACGATTCTAACAAAAGTAGGAAAACAAAAAGAGGCCAAGTTTAAAAAAAATGGTAGCACACATATAGCAACTCAAGTTGGTAGCCTCACTCCTGTAGACATTTGCAACCCCTGAACAAATACAACACTCCCATTTCACATGAGTGTAAGCAAGAAATTGACTTGTCCATTCCCAGTTAGAGGCAAAGCTCATTCTAGAACCTTGGTCTCTTCACTGCCAGTTCAGGATTCTTCTACTATCCCCTACCTCATGCTAAGTAGTCTTATACTAGGAAACAAAAAAAATAAAATAAAATAAACATAGCTGGGCACAGGGACACATGTCTATAATCCCAGCTACTCAGAAGGCTGAAGCAGAAGGATCACTTAAGCCCAGGAATTTGAGGTTATAGGCAGCTATAATCAGGCCATTGCACTCCAGCCTGAGTGACCAAAGTGAAACCCTGTCTCTAAAATAATAAAAAGTAAAAAAAAAATAAATATTTAAAAAACTGCATACAAAATTAACTATTAAAACTAAATAAAAATTAACACTTAGTTTTAAGAGAATTATTAAAGTCAAGGAAAAACAGTTGAAATATCCCATCTACTTGCTGGCCATACCTTTATTTATCACCGAAGAATGAGTAAATTATATCAGATTCCCTAAGGATTTGTTTCCTAATATGACATTTTTTAAAAATGTCACTGCTTCAACTACATACAACAAAAGATTATCTAATACTTCAGAAATGCTCAGCTAATGGTTAATGTCCCAAACTGTGTGGTATACTCTTTCTGCTAGGAAAATCTCCCTCCATATGCACCTTGAAGACAAGACTGTAAATAAGTTTTTATATAGCAGGTACTGGAACTGTAATAAATGAGCATTGTTCGACTATAGGGTTTAGGTGGAAATTATTTCTATCACCCTTACAAAGAAGTTATTGATTTGTTCTCTGAACAAATATTACTGACTGCTATTACACACCGAACAGTGTGTAAGGTGATGGAAATACAAAAGTGAACAAGGCCTTTAAGTTACTCTATCTGAATAAAAGACAGATGCAAACACTCAAATCATAAAACAGTGGGTAGACATAATGATCTGTCTATGCATACCTGTCATGGGAGCACTGAGCAGGGGTACCTAATGCATTGGAGGTGAAGGGACACTTCCCAGCATGGACAGAGGCCTGAAGAAATCCTAAAGCTTGGGTGGGAGTGGACCAGACACCAGGATGGTAGGTTGAGGGTGGGGAGCATGTCAGGAAAGTAGAACAATATAGGCAAAAGCAAGGCGGTGAGAGTAGCCCCTCCAATTGGTCTAATCAAGATCCCATACTGTCTCGGAGTCTTAAAAACCCCTGCCTTATACCACATGACCCAACATTTGCTGAGACTTGGTGCATAGCCCTTCTTAGCAAGTTTAGGGTTCAAGGCCAGTGTGAGGAAACAAGGAGGCAGAATTCACTTGAAGAACAGGAAGAGCATCTCTGGATCTGGAACTGGTGGGAAGGTTCTCAAATCTGCCAGAAAACTAGAATCACCTGGAGAAAAAAAACAGAACAAATATTCCCTAGGTCTCAGAGCCACTAAATCAGCTTTGATTTAGACAGAGGCTCAGGCTTTGTTCTGAAGCTCTCGTTCAGAAGCCCCTGATGATTCTCATGCCCCATAGGGAAAGAGTGCACTTCACTCAGAGGCCTCAGAAGTTCCAGAACAATCTCTTCAAGGTCATTAATTCAGCATCCTCCAGGAAGAATCCAAGGATCCATATTTTAAGGGAGTTGCATATTCTTAGCTTGTTTACTCACTTTGCATTATGAGTCCCTTCACTTAACTTCTTTTGATTTAAATTTTTTTTGTTTAAAGTAGAATGCTAGCAGCTAGAATACCAACTGGAAAAGTGAAGGGGGCCTACTTTGCCTCCATCCCTTATACATATACCATAACCCAATGTCTGCCTCCAGATAAACTCTAGGGTCAGTTTATCTCAGGCTCAGCAGTGGCTCTGAGCCTTCACACACCTGTGTAGCTTCACCCTCATAGAACAAAGGGTCTGGGAGCATCCAGTCATCAAGGTGCCTTCGAGGAACAGCTCCAAGGCACAGAGCACTCTGATCAGGTCCTTCATGTCCACCAAAGGGCAGGACACTGCAGATCAATGCAAAACCTGGGAATGAGCCAAGTCAGCTGAGCACTTCTCTTTCCAGATTTTCACTTTGTGGTCACATAACAGCCTGAACAATCTCAAGCCAAGAATGGCAAAGTAAATGCTGTGTACCGCAAAGACAACAGATCGGAGTAAGCTGCCTCCCTGAATGGACCAGCCTGGAGAGATCTCTTACAGGAGCCACCAGGTGACCTTCAGACACCCAGCATCAGAGAAACCTACAGCTGGCCGAGGTCAGCCTTCCTGACTGCAAGGCCCAGCAGCAACCCACACTATCCCCTAGCAGAACAAGGAGGCACTCAGGTGTCCCCATCAACCCGAGGTCCGCCATGTGAGCCATTTGCAAACGTAGAACATGCATGGAGGAGGAAGCCTCGGAAAAGCTCAAGATGATCATTTGCCCCCTTCTGGCTGACCTCAATTTTTAAGAGATCCATTCATTATTTCCTGCAGTACTATTATACCCGGGCCTAAAAAACACATTTCTCTGACCCAGCCCTCCAAAAGACATCACAAGAGTGGTACCAGACCCTACCAAAAACCTTGGACCATCACCTCCCTCCTCTATTGCCTCTTCTCTACCCCATCCTGAACAAAGGTCAATACTGGCTGCTACGAAAGTCATCACAGCCACCCTCATTTCTACCAAACCTCACTCCAGACCATCCAACCCACTCTGGACCATAGGGAGCCTCTCCAAGGATCTCTCCTTCCCAGCACGTATCCCTTACATATTTACATTGTTGTCTCACTAACTTATATATGGACAAGGATCTATACCATCATTGTTGTTTCGCATTTTTGTTTTAAGTTTTAAAAGGTCTCTTGTTTGTTTGGCAGATTACTATGTTCAAATGGTACCTTGGAAACCCTCCCAGTTTCTTTAAAATACACATACCCTAAATTTCAATCCACCCAACTCAGACTTCTTGGCCCCTCTCTATTCTGAACCCAAGGCCCAAGGCCCTTCCTGAGCTAATGGCAGACTCTCTCCTCCCTCCACACATTCTAACTCCTCTATCAGTTCAAGAGTGAAAATCCCTAACTGCCCTTGAGGCTGACCAGTTCAAGAAAACAAATCAGAATAATTACCTATTTCCTTTTCATGCAGTTTTCTTTTTAAATCACACTGCTGCATCATTATTTTGTTTAAGATGACATGCTAATATGCAAAATAATCCCTCTTTTGACCTTGAAAAGGACTTCCCTGTGTACCAGAACAAATCCAAAATCCTCAGGAACCATGCTGAAGTTTCCAAGGTGCTCAGTGCTGGGGTGGCACCCAATTCCCAAGCGCTCTCAACCAGCTGTCCAACCAGCGCTCTCAACCATGCCCAGCTGTCCTCCTCCCCCACCCACTGGCAGAAGAAAGTGGGTCTTTGGGAGTTTTTTAAAGCTTTCCCACCTACTCCACAAATCCAGTAGGAGGGAGAAGGGATGTTTCCAAGTTCTCTGAATGACACAAAGCTCATAAAGTACAACAAAATTAGTTAAAAAATAGCAAAATGAGTTTAACTCCCCTTTAAAACACACACACCTACTTTAAATGACTCACAGTGATTTCATATTTTTTCCTCTACTAGGATATGCATTCACCCTCCCAAAGCTGATGGTTCTCCCTACTCCTAAGACAGTACAGGGCCAGGTCTCCACAAATACCTGCTCTGATGTGGGGCGGCCCTCCCTCCCCCAGGGGATCTTGACAAAGCTCAGAGCACCCCCTGCAGACAGCTGGAGGCTCCCTCCTCCAAGCTCTTCCTACCTGCAGTTCTCTCTGCCTGCAAGGCTCTTTCTCTGTGTCTTGCCATGGTAGGGCATTCTCACCTTTTGAGAACTCAGATTAAGTATTACCTCTTGAGTGAGGCCAGCCCTGATCCCCTAACCTTACAAGCCCTCAGCAAAAGCCACTTTTTTAGTGGAACCTATCATAATCTGTAATTATCTTACTAATCCATAGTCCCCTCCAGGGGCAGGAAGCTTGCCCAACTTGTTCATTTCTTTACCACCAGCACTCCAATAGTTCCTGGCACATAGCAGGTGCTTGGTAAGACTATGCTAAGAGGAGTGTAAATGAGGAGGTAGGAGCAGCTAGTGAGCACAGACCAACCAAAATGCCCCATGGAATGAGTCACCTGATTTCCCTTGACTCCTTTCAACCCTGTTGCTACTTAGATACTGGTCCTACCATTGTATACCACCTATCCACCTATTCAGACTTGGGTGTCATCCTAGAGAT